GGATAAGATTCCATGTTGATAAATAACTTCGGAATAAAAAAAAGACAGCCAATTCAAGATAAATTGATAAAAATATCAAGATATTATTGAAACAATAACACGATTTATACACGAGGCCTGACGAGGCTAAAGTATGCCCGTTCGCAGGTTAGATGCGGGCACGATGTAAACAATTGATGTAAACGAATAGCTGATTGGCTTAAATTGGCTTAAATTATATAAGCTCGTCGCTGAATGGCTAGGGATACGGTACGGTACGGTACGGTCACGTTTGCGATAGCAATATATCTGCTTCGCAGATACAAAAATCAAAGGCAAAATATATGTATTTTTAAAATTTAGTTCGCCCATTGCAATGTTCAGTTGTTTATCCCCCCCGGGATGACATGACTTTAATAAGGCCAGGTTACAAAAATGTCCAATATTTTTGGACACACGTGACCAGTGTTTACCAGGGCCTTTGCTTCCCGTACCAGAGCCTCTGAACCGCGCAAAGGCCCTGGGTACGAGGCTGCATCAGCACATGCATGAAACACATTTAGTTCTCAAACTAGTACTCGAGAGTCGAGTAAAACCAATTGTAAAATAATACTGAGAAGAACAACAAAGTATTATAGTAAAAATGTGTTTTTCCACGAAAAACGTTCGAAAACAATTTCGTATTGTTTTTTCTGCTTTTATTCTTTTGCGAGAAGCTACATTTAAACTACATACGCAGACTCGACACGTAGAGGTAACTGCATGAGTATAATCTGCTACACAGTTACGTGGGGGAGGGGTGGGGGGGGGCTGGCGGAACCGTGGGGGCATAATCATGATACTGAAAGCATATCCCCTTTTGTGCTTGATTTGGGAAATTGGAACACTAGTACTATAATACTAATACTTGCATGCTCAACTGGCTAAGTATATACTATCATTGACATTACATGCAAGGTTGAAATAGATTTCTCCTTTTTTACATGACACTGCCATTGGCATGTGTTGTTACAGATTGTTCCGACAAGCCTATAATACTGGCGTTCCATGCAAACGCTTGTTGTCACTAACAACTTGTTACGCGTAGACGATATTAAATTTGTTGGAACAACTTGTTGCGAGTCTGTTGACCTCGTCAACCTTGTTACAAGATGATGAAAACTTCTTCCATACTAACAACTGGAAACAAGAGTGCGAACACAACTTGTTGACAAGCTGTGACATCGCGTGTAGCATAAATTATATCGCTATGATGACCATTATTCTGCGACTGCTGCACAGGTAGAACAAGAGAACTGGCGATTTAGTACAGAAACGTGACACAAAACATTCATACTTGCATTCCAAGTGTTACATCCCGAGTATGCTGGTCTGTATATTAGACTTTGGCCAGCATTGATTGAAGCCTTGTGCATGGCTCCACCAAGTCCAAGGTGGAGGATAAAAGTATGGGAGGATCTAGGAATGGCCGGAAATCCTGAAGCATGCGACGGGCTAAATATAATTTAAATTTATTCCACATCCCCTCTTTGTTTATTTTGAACACCATGCATGCGCAGGAACAAGCATTCTTCCTTTTTTTGAACATGTTTATTTTAATCATGATATTGTCTCCACCGCGGTTTAACACGATATTGTCTTCTCCGAAGTATCGAAATTACCACTGAAATTAGGACAAACTGCCTTACGTGTAATTGATCATCTATATATGTAGTATAGGATCAGTGCATCTCTCTCCTCCGCAGAGCCTCCTTAAGTATTTACAAATAACTTACATGAAGTTTCCTGAATGAAAGTGAGCGCGCGCGGTGTGATGGGAGGATTGAAATTCTTCCCATCACCCCTTGCGCGCTCACTTTTCCCTCACTAGAAACTTCATGTAAGCCTCTGCGGAGGAGAGAGATCAGTGCATCGTGTGTGCTTACTTCAATCAATCAACTATGAATTATTGTACGATACAAATTATGATAATATTATAAAATTATGAAGTTCTAGAACTAGTATGTATATATATAAAAAGTAATATGCATAATCAAAAATCTACAGTAATATGCATAATCTAAAAATCTACAGTGCACTTAAATAATCAGTCGTGATGGTTAAAACGAAATAAGAATCACAAACAAGGAAACCGGCTTACGTACGTTCTTGACATTTGTTCACCAATAATGATACACCGCGAATTGAAATATTATACGTTATATATTGGTTACGCGGTTTTAACACATTCTTTTTTCAAAAGGCCAAAATGAACGAGTGAAACCGCTGTTAAACTTAGGTGGAATTATGTAGAGGTGAAGCCTAAAAACAGAGCTCATTTGCACAGTAAGAAAATATCGAAATGTTCATTCTTGTGAAAAACATACTCCCTAATTTTCAGGTCCGAATGACACAGAGGTAGGAAGATGTGGTTGTTTGCGTACTAGCGTACTATATGTGTAAATCATTTGATTTATCAACATCTCTGTCTTTTTTGTCGATTGTGAAATGTTTAGGGCGTAGATATATGGCCATGATATGAACCTAGATCCAGGCCCGCCGAGAGGGGGCGGGGGGAGGGGGAATTGCCCCGGGTCTTCGGCTCCGGGGGACCCTAGTCATTTTTTGTGGGCCCCAGTCATTTTTTCGGGCAAAATATTTCTGTTTTTCTGGCAAAGTACCGAAATTTGGTATTGGGCGAAGAAGTTATTTTTTCGGGAAATTTCTGAATAGGGGCCCCCGGAAAAAAATCTGCCCTGGAATATGCCACATGCATTCATGGAACAACATTATACTTGAATATCAGATATTCTCTCAATATGTTAATTAGCCAAGGTATATACTGTTCCACTTTAAAGTGTGCCACGCAGTCTATTTAATTAAAATGCTGTAATGTTTTGAAGAATGCCGTTGTCGACCCTGGCCATCGGTTTCTATATCATGAAAATAAAATCATGTTAATTTAAAGAACTTACGAGCTTTGTCGCAATTAAGATAAACAGTTTCTCTTCATAAATAAACTTTTAACTCTCCTTGTACTGATGAACACAGTTTCCCACCGTTCCAGGGTACGAGGTTGATGTAAAAGTGGACCCTTGAAAGTGACGTCATCGTGAAGACCTTTGTAAACTCAATGTATTTTTTTTATGTCAAATTACCATCTAGGGTTATTACAATGCAACCTGTGATGCAAGGCGATGTAGGGCGCTGTAAAACACCGCACTAGGTGAACGCGCAGCGGCAGACGAGTGGAGCCAACGTTTCGCAACAAAAGCAATACACCCGGAAGTATGTGGATTTATTAACCTCTTTTCGATCTGCGCATGCTCACCAGTACGTTTCGGTATGGTCGGTTGAAGTGGAAAACTGGCTTTACCTGCATCTGAGAAGCATGTACCTAACTATCCCAACATGGTAGAGACTGAAATTTACCTGAGACTTACCTGCATCTGAGAAGTACCTAACTGAGACCCAACATGACATAAAGTGCTGACATCAAAGATTATAAATACTCTGATATCGTCGAAATTGGCCTCGAGCACGTCTTGGGTAAGTGAAAATGTGTTTACTGACCTAGGACCATGTTTTCAGGCCACGGGCCGCCTCTAATGCTTGGCCTGAAAACATCGTCTTAGGCAGGGACGTCGCTATAGGGGTGGGGGGGGGGTAACACCCCACCAATAATTCAAACGTTGGTCAAAGTTGGGCAAAATGGAAATTCGGGATAAAAGACGGTCGAAGTTGCTCAAAGTTATGAAATGGTTCCCAATTTTAAAGCTTTTGTTATGTTTGCGGTAAAAAAATTGGAAGCCTGCATATCTTGGTCGAAAAATTTTGAATGTGCTTATGTTAGTCCGGAAGAATTTTCTTGACTATGCTTATGTTAGCCCGGAAAATTTTTTTGACCTCCCTCCGTCGACAACATTTTCGGGAAAAATTTGTACGACTTGGTCAAAATCCTAGGAAATGTTGGTCAAAACATGATGACCCCCCAATGTTGATGGCTTCGCGACGTCCCTGGTCTTAGGTCGGTCCTGGGTCAGTCCTAGTGCGTTTAATTACACTACAAGATTAATTTTAATTGTTCTTTTAGGTCGGTCTCTAGTGTAAACACGTCTTTGATTCTTCCCCAAATTCTCTTGGAGATATTTGATATGCAAATTATCCTCACTACGACGTCAAATTGCATAATAGCTTTCTCAAAAAACCTTTATTACTCTCATAACTATTGTAGCACGCAACATATATTTCTAGTTGCATCGTATCTCACGATCATATTGCAATCAGAAAAAAAAGGTGTGACATTTCGTTGCATTACCACTTTAAAATAAATTGCATGAGTTCATTGCTACTAAACAGAAACTTTGGAACCCAGGCGTGGAATATAACAATTTTTAAACTGGGGATATTCAAACATTAAGTAAATACAGTAAAGATTTTTACTAAGTAATGTTTCGTCACATTAGAAGATATATATAAGCGTTAGGAAGTTTGGCAAAAAGATGGGGAAATAAATTTAAAACCAAGAAATATGTAAGATAATACTGGAAAATGAAAGAAAGATATAATGTTGCCAAAAATTATAAAGCCTTTGAAAATTTTTGTTCCCCCCCCCCCCCAAAGATATCTTCTTACATCAACTGTCCTGACGAGTTCGAACGCCTTAACCCGCAACTTTGAGAAATATTTTAATTTTCAGTGAAAGGGTGTCGTGAAATGGGCCAAGAAGAAAATTATACCTACAATCATGGTCAAAAATCAATGGCACACTTCAAAACGTTCTGTACCACTTTCCACATACATACACATTTTATTCGCCGTACAATGTTGTGTAACGCCTTGCTCGTCTAACACACTAAGCACAACTTTGGATGGGGGGAGGGGGGGGAGGGGCAGTGGATAAGGAGTTCGACTCACTTCCAGTTCCATTTCGAAGGGAGTCAAATTCAGCTTTGTGTATGTCATGTGTGTGAATATTGTTGCCTTGAGAAGGATTGTATTGCTTTCGACTGCGACGGTTTGACGGTATTAATTTGACAGTATATTTTTCTAAAAACTGAATGCAAGGAGACCAGAGAAATTAAAATTTGCAGTTATATGGTTACAGTGATAAATATTTATTGCCACATAACTTAACGATTGTCTCAATATAAATAATTATTTGTGTAAGATAAAATAAGTACATGCGTTATGTCTTTACATTTCACTAAATACAGTAAGTTTTCTGCCCTTACCTCTTGTCTAGTAAGATTCTATTGAACATATTGAAATTACACAAAAAGTATGTACATCTATAACTTTACACTATATTACAAATAACCAAATTCAATTCTCAAGACATGTTTAGGATTTAGAGAAACGGAAACTTGTTGTTATTAAAGTGTATACTGCCGCTTATTATTTGGCTATTTGTGGTTCCAGCAGAGTTCGGATTTCGTGGATCTACTTACATTAGAGTGTTAAACATAATTTAAATTTAAATGTCACTTTTATAGCTTCATTCAATGAATATTAATTGATGATGACGAGAGGTTAGGCTTCATTATTACAAGAAAATGTTGTAGCAGTTGCCATGTGCAGACGTTATCTTGTTAAAACTGCTGTCTGTTCTTCCCTTGTGCTCTATAGTTCGTCCAGAAAACGACACTGTGGAAAGCGTAAAGTTAATTCATTAAATGCAAGGCAGACATGAACATGACTTTGCGAATTCAATATCATGTAATCTCTTCACAATTTTCTGATTGCTATCCAGACAAAATAGTTCAACTGCTACGATGTCCGTTTCTAAACGTCTACAACAATTACACGATTTAACCACAGTTGTACTGGAACTACTAGGAATAGCGTAAGATAAACACGATCCTTTGCACCTTCTCACTGGAACTGTACGAGTTAAGCATGTTGGTACTTTGACTTCTCTGTTCACTACTTCTACGGTACAGCTATCATTACCCGTTGCTCGTTTCTCCAACGACCGTGACTGGATTCCAGTGAAGATAACCAGTACGAAAAATAGAATACATCTCGTGTTTATGATGCTCAGATTCATTGCAGAATCCAGTATGAACTAAACAAGGAAAAATTGATGTGAGTACACGGTAAAGTCTAGAAGGAAGTTGCGTTGAGGCGCGGCAGGCAAAAAAATGGGGATGTATTACAGTATGATTGAGAAAACTTTATCTGACATATCTTACCATGCAAAAAATGTGACAGTTAATTACGATTATTATCCATAATAGCAAAGCTAAAATACGAAATCTTTTGACGTTTGCAGACAAAGAGCTCGCTCACTATTACTGTATACTGTATAACAACAATTTGAACTGCCTGGCGTATTCATCAATGCATGACAAAATGGAAAGTCCAATATATGAATGATTTAATTGATCCGAGAGTCACTTCCATAAAAGATTGTGCAACTAGTGTCATTCTTTAGTTGACGTTTAGGTTTTTATCTCTATATTGCAATTTAAGATTGTTCTTTACTGTGGAAACTGTATCTATGAAACAAGAGCAAACAAAACCCCCATCGTGAGATGACGCGTATATATATATATATATTTAGAATACAGTTATAGCTGTAATATGACATCTATGCAACAAGAGAAACATTGCTTTTATTCATTTCAAAAATTTGTTTTAGCAGGTCGATGAATGCATACCAATATTTGGTAAAATGAGGCAATGATTTGGATGATGGAGGACAACGGAGTGGTATAATATTAATTGCAAACTCAACACCAAACACCAAACAAGCGAAGATGGCGTACTGTCTACCCTTATCTGGTTATAATGTAGTAAATGGTCAACCTTGCTTTGTAAAAATTTCTAAATTAACTAGTAGAAATGAGAAATTTAAATGAATTCTGGAATGTATAATCTCAATGTCTTTAATAACATGAACACCCGCGTTCTGCCAGGCAACGTATCGAGAAGGAAAGAAACCTTTGTCGGACCGCCGGATATTAATCTTTGGATCAAAATACCAAGAAATGGGGAAATAAATTTAATAACAAGAAATGTGAAAAATAATAGTCTAGAATGCAAGATACTGTTAAAGCTAATAATCTAAAATGGAAGAAATATATAAGGTTTCGAAAAATCATAACCCCCCTTTTCCTTCCCTGTACGTCTATAACCAACCGATATATATATATATATATATATATATATATATATATATATATATATATATATATATATATATATATATATATATATATATATATATATGGGGGGGGGGACTGTTGTCCATACTCTAGAAACTCTTGTAAAAAAAAATGGTCAGCCTTTGGATCAAAATACGAAACCGATACGGGGGACTGTAGGTCATATTCAAGAAACTCTAGTACTCTAAAATACTGTTATTAATCTCCATAATAACATGTAATCCTTATATAAGGCCTCGCCTCTTTGCATTTGTTCATTTCAAAAAAAATTAATTTTGTTTAATTAATATTTCAACTTGTGAACCTAACCGAGCATGCGCATGGTAACAATATATTCCAGGTTTGAACAATATATTTTATGTATTCATTTTTTACATCAGAATCAATCATAACATCTCTGTTGCACTCAGCATGATTTCAAGATTTCAACAACATCCTGCAGCATACCTCAACATACAAGGCATTCCGAACTTCCGCATGAATAATATACAAGGAAACACTTGTTTCAACAGGAAATTTCGAAACATCTTGTTCTTACGTCCACCCACCTAGTATCAAAATTTGTTAAATCGAAAACAGTGTCGTTCAATCTTTCATCAAAACATAGTTAAAATTTAAGAGCTTACATATTTTCCTGTTATTTTGACCTTTTCACCTGACATTAGTGTCTGCAGTAACCGCAATACAAACACCACTATCTCGAACAATTACAAAAAAAATTCACTTAGGAAATTGGCAAATTCACATTTGTATATCGTATACAGTGGTGTACAACTAGTACATATAGCTATATGTTCTGCAAAACCTTTATCACCAGTGAACGAGTATCACAACAGATGGCGATGTAAATTGTAAATTCATTTCTAAAAGTATTACTATACTAAACAGCTGCGATGTAAAAGAGATAATATACAACTGTAATTCACAACTACCTGAAAATTATAAGCAAAATTTCGACGTTTCGAGTGAATGCACTTAATTCGACGGGACGTCAGCAGAATGCCGTTATAAGTAGGGTGTATCCTAATTTCAGGTAGTTGTATATATATACTTCAACCGCAGCTGCTCTTTTATTTGGTAGGAAACTGGGATGAATTGATTTTCTTGCTCTTTATATCACCATCTGTTGTGCTTGTAATAATGAGTCAGTTAAATGCAGACAAGCATCATAAAGGCAAATGCTTGATAGTTGTCCCAACAGGTTTTTCTGTGATTACAAATTTAGGTTAAACTCATATAAGAGTTATAATAACTCATCATTATGAACTATTCAAGTTATCCAAACTCATCATTATGAACTATTCAAGTTATCCAATTACTGAATCTAATGTGAAAACAATAAATTAAAGTCTGGTAGACTTGTTTGTTAAAAATATCATTCATCATAAGCAAAGTTCGTTGCCCCACGATATGTATGCATAAAAAACTTAATATGTAGATGACACTTGGATTAATTTTATGCAATCATTTGCGACATTTGATGAACGGCTGCTGTTCCTACTCACTTGTCACAGTCTGTTATGGTCTGATAGCTAGGCAAAATTTATAACGTCTTTAACGGATTTATGTTGAAACTGACGATGTCACCTTGTACAAATCCTTTTTAATATATGAGCAAGATCGACGAGATGACAGTAGCATTCAATGATGATATCTTGTACGGGTTGTGCCAGTGTAGGTACACTAGTGACAATCATAAGAAAGCTTCGGATTAATAGGGATACATGTACAGCTACCTGAATAGCGAAGAGCCTTCGCTCGAAATGTCGAAGTTCTCCTTGTATTTTTTAGGTAGTTGTATCCTTATCAGTTCGAAGCTTTCATTCAATGATTATTCTATAATTCTATTATACCAAAAATTCATTGTTTTCATAAGTTTGCATAAACATGATTATTTAAAAAAAAAAGATAGAAGACGATGGGCCAGATAATTGAAAATTTTACTTGAGTGTCACAAAATCAACTCTCACAAATCGTTCCGAACGGCGAACCTGCGTAATACGTTATCCGTTCCCTGTTTCTAATTCTTCCTGTTAACTTCATCCTCTTTCAGACGGACAAACTTTGGCTGCTCTCACATGCAAGCATTCACGTCTCTATTTTTAGACAGGAACACATGGATAATATAATGTGATAATAAGTATTCAACTAGTTGTCAGAATGCCAGTTGAATGATATGGAGCAGTCTTCTTCCCGTGACTATGTTTCAAGGACAATGATGAACACTCAACATATGCATGACTAGCGAAAATATTCAGAGCATATAAAACGTATTGGAAACAAAATAACTGAAAGTAAAGTACAACCTATTTCACTGTTTGACTGCAAATATTCAGCGAAATAATTCAATTTCTCCTACAATGTCAATGTAGACCAGCTATGAAGACTTGAATCAGACATTTTCTAGATTTTTTAGGCACTAATCTTATATAGGAATTTAATGTGAGATTAAGAATATGGAAGAGTGCTCTTGACATTCCGATTCGGTTTACAACGGTTCTCACCAACGGTCAACAATAATGCAACGGCTGTAGTTCATAGTCAACGGCTCAACAATTAATAACGAGTGCCTGTTCGGCTCAACAGTTAATAACGAGTGCCTGTATTACGCTGGTTTCAATTGCCTGTACTACGCTGGTTCCGATTTAAACGCAGATTAGATTCTCTTGTTAATCAGAATCAGTATTTATTAAGCACCTTGACTCACAACAAGAGTACTTATTTCAGAATATGGTGCAAGCTAACTGTAGTTACCGCGTAGAGTTTGACAGTTAATATGTTATTTTACACAGTGTAGAATAGCTAGCCTACAATAACCAGGTAGGCCATATTTCATAGCAGTTCAGAGCCATCATCAGGGAAACGTGATATAATATATTCATGAGAAAAACACTGCGTTCCAACATAAAGTTGACTCGAAAGGGATTTGAACTCACATATTTAGCGAACAGCTTGACGGTCTACCGATTGAGCTCGTGCGCTTAAACTTGTGCTCCCCCTCCCCCAGTTGACTCGAAAGCTGAATTTGCAGAGACTAGAGTGTCAGCCCGGTTCGCTGAAAATCCCGAAATTTTTCTCATGAATATATTGTATCATGTTGACCAAGTTTTTGAAAATTAGCAAAAATGTCTTGAAACCCGAGTGTAGATTGATACAAGTGTAAACGTAAAAGATTGTCCATATAGTCTCAGGTTTCCAAACTTTTTCCGTCTTTGTTTTATATTTCATTTCCTAAATTATTCACTGCTTCTCATTTTTCGCAGCTGGGTATATTAATTAAAGAACTCATAGTTACAGTTAAGCACCAAGTCATCGTTCCAATATCAAAAAAAGGTGAACGCAGTAAATCTGTCTCGATTTAGGTGCAATTTAACTTATTACTGTCTACAAATCAACATTTCAATAGTCCTCAGTTGCAGTCAAATGATAAAATTCCTTTGTCGGCGTCTTAAATGAAAGTCTTATGATATCATGTGTAGTTTAAGAACCCAGAATAGAATCATCGTTCCAACATCCAAAAATGTGACGCAGTAAACCGGGCTCGATTTAGGTGCAATTTAACTTATTAATGTCTGCAAATTAACATTTCTCCTCAATTGCAGTTAAATGATAAAAATTTCTTTGACGTCCTGGCATATAGTTAATTATAGATTATGTGTAAGGCACAGTTTAGCCGGTCGGCGTTACAAATGAAAATCTAATGATTGAAATGAATATAATAATATTATACAGCACGAAATAAATTCACACACATATATCCGTGTCGCCACAGACGTATCAAGACGAAACATGAATCATCACGGCAGCCAGCTTTAGATTCTCAGAGATAAATCTTTTTGAATCCGTCAACAACTACGATGCATGGGGGCATACCTGTTGTATGATTCAAATGCTATTTAATATATAGAAATAAAATATTCATTACAAACCGCCCATTGTGGTGTAAGTGCATAAAAGAAGGAAATGAATAATTTTCCGCTATTCGTCTCATGACCTTTCATGCTGACATGTTAAATTAATGAATAATTTATTATTTGTTTTCGGCCGCTAACAATTGACAAAAAATTATGACTAAAGAGTAAAGTAAACGTCAGGAAAATATAGTATGACATTTACTCATTTAAGATGCTCCTCACAACTTTAGAGTATATTACAGTTTTGAACAGTTCTGCATGTCCGTACGTGTTCCTCCCGAGGACAAAATGCATGCAATTAATATGGCTGCTTTAATTACTGCTTTGTCCGACTATGGCTATGCAGTTATATTTAACCAGCTGATGCACGTTCAACACATACACACACATTCATACAATCTGTTGCCAAGATAATGATTACTATATTGTAATCTATATGACAAACATGCACTTTCCCAATTTAACTAAAAATGGCTTCTTTGCCCAAGAAGGTTGTACACCAATTCTTAGATTCAACAAAACAGCTAACGTGTCAACAAATAGCCGTTAGTTCATGTTTGTTATGCATATACCCGCGATTGTACAATACCAACAAGTATATTAAACAACATGTATTTTCCAACACATGCCCAAACTGTTGTTCCGCGTAACCACAGCAAGATATGAGACCATAAAAGGTCTCCTGCAGTCATTTCAACAACATGTACAATGATATATACATATACTATCATAACTTACCAAGTAAATTCTTCTAAGCAGTTGTTACTCCAACAAAGTTAGGTGTTTGCAATTCAAACCAGCGAGTATGAGAATGATGAGAGCGCCGTTGTGACTCGAGTTTAAATTATTGTTTGAATGTGTGGGAGGCGTGACGTTAGTAACATGATCCTGTAAGGATACACCCCACTTATATGGCTTTCATGACTACACATGGATGAATTATCGCTGTCATTATCGATGGAATTAAATCTGTTTTGCATATTTTAAATCGGTTTTGTACTAGAATTTACCGGTTCCATCGCGAAACAAAATACCTATGGTTCTGGTCTGTGGCTTATTTTTGGTTCCGTATCTTCTCATTCTTACACTTGGAATAAAATATTTTGCATTTTCTGAACCGACTGAAGTGCGAACGTTTTATGAATTATAACTTTATGGTATACATGATGACAATAATGTTGTCAAATTTACCAATCATATATCCTTTTGAGCTTCCTCATAGCACGAGTGGCAGAAGTGATGCATGTATAATTATCGAATGTGATAAAGAAAGTTAGTTATATTGAATTCCGTAGCTTTTTCAATTGCAGGATGTTTTGTCTGCATAAAATACCACAAGATTTAATTTCAGGAGTGTCAAGTAATAGACTTTCGGTTCTAAAAGTAACGAAACTTACTCTTACAATAGACAACAACTGAACAAGGTAGTCGATATAAATATCATTGGCACTGATAATACAAAGAGTAGTTGTGATTTTGCATCAAAAAGACTAGAAAGATTCTTAGATGGCTTTAATAGAATTACCATATAACGTAAGGGTATGCCTAATATGTTTCAAGAGTAGTGCTTGTGTGGTTGAACGTGAGCATTCAATGATTGTCGTGTTCGATCGCACGAGGTCGTTGCGTGATTAGACTGGTTGTGATAAAGACAAGCTGTGAGCCTACTGGTATGATGAACAGCGTGTTCACGCAATGACTATAGCAACGAGATAGAAGTGTGCATGCGTCAGTAAACATTGTACTTCCTGAAATTCTTGTTAGTCCGGTACATATTCTTGCTAATTTTCTGCTAAACTAAACAAGAAATATCCAAAACACTTTTGTCGGTTCCTTGCGGTTTTTGCCATTGAATTTTCTCTGCAACCCCACAAGAGGAAACTCGTTATACCAGCCATAACGAAGTTGCCAAGTTAAACAACTATGCTGATCAGCTGAACATTTGCCAACTGTTTTTGGCAGCTATAGCTTAGTGTTGTTTATCGTCTGTCTCGATCAAAAATGTTCCTTTAATTTCTTACTGATTTGAATTTTAATCAGCTCAGTGAATTCAGACAATATTACTCAACATCATTGATCTATGAGAGAGAATTAAGATTCTGTTTTAAACACGATCCTTTTGTTATATTATATTGTCCATTTTCAATGTATTTTACCACGTACAGCCTACAGTTTTCCGGAGAAAGAAACTCAGCTTAACTAATACCAAATATGGAGAAATCAGTTTCACTCTCATACGCTAGATGTACACCTGTCATATGTCACGCATGCACGCCCCGATTTTAAAAGTGGGGACTTACTTGAGGCGTAGCACGCGTAGGCTATTCAGCCATCGCTATCGGTTACAACAACACAACGTTTCCTAGACTAATTTTTATTGATTGTTTAATAATATATACACCGCGCAATGCCGGAAAAATAATTACTGTGTTTAATGAGATGTCTGATATCTGTTTTCAACGCCATTTTGTGTCTCAACTAGACCATCTTTTAGTAATTAATGATACACCCTGTATGATCTTTCTTGTCACTGGCAAAGTTAAATTAAAACTCAAAGGAAATTAAAGTCTTTGACTCATTGAAGAAGTCACTAGAAGTGCATGAAAGTTCAAAGAATTAAGATCTTCCTTAACTGACGTGGTTGAAACAAAAAATGTTATTTGCGGTACAAAAAATGTTATTTTGACTGTCGCCGTTACGATGACGTTCGCCAAATTCTTCAATTCTCTCAGTGGCTGCACGTGCCAAGTGAACAACCGCCCCCACAGTCGCATTAACCCTGCGTGATGGAAATTAATCACTTTGCTATGACGTCATTTATCGCGCATTTATTGCGAATTTATTTTTTTGGATGTCAAGCAACGAAGTAGGATGAAAAATTGTTTTCTGAGTTTAAGTATGTTGAGGTCAGTTTTCTCATGCACTCAACTGTTGATAAGGAAATTTTCAACTCATTAATATTTCAACACATAGTTACACATCATGCGCGTGTCAAGCGCATCATTCATTTTTCCACACTCAAAGAAAAAAACACGCAAAATGACGGAAAACTCTGCATATGGTATTTTTAACAGCGTGGAATAACCTCACGCAGGATACATTAAATACGCATTAAAACATTCCTGCTCTTCACATAACAAGATTATTTGTGTTTTTAACATGCAGTTTTAGACCCCGTTCACACGATACCGGCATGGAATTCTGCCGGCAGAAAATCATCACGATTCCAACTGTTCACACGATACCGGCAGATTATATTCCGCTTTGACAATATGCTGCACAAATCAGTTAAAATAGACAGAATAAAATATCCCACAACAACTTTTGCAGTTTTGTTAATTTCATTTTGCAAACGTAATGAAATTCTTACGGTTGGGCGTTCACACGGCACTCTGACGGTAGAATTTCGTTCCGTTTTCAAACTCTTACGGTTAGCGTTACGGTTTCACATTTTTTCATACCGGCATCGTGTGAACGCAACCCCTATAACGTAAGAATTTAGTTCCGTTTTCAAACTCTGCCGGTATCGTGTGAACGGGGTCTCAGACTTTTTGTTCACGATTCAGACAGCAATACATTCACACAATTTTTGCACTTGTATAATACACTAATGACCATTGAGAAATATTTAAAAGTAATATTTTACCACTGGCATCAGGATTGATAACGAGCATATGTATATTTGCAACTCGGTGGCAATGTTCCAGATATTACAAAGCAGTAACTATAAGACCATGAAATTAAAGAGTGATGTCGATATGCAGGCATGTGTATGTCAAGTGCACAAAATGTGATTTACACATGATATCAAGTATATCGTTTTATACTCATATCATTTGAAGTTTGAAACTTGAATACATGAAAAAGTCCAACATTATATCCAACACTTTTCTAATGCGGCTTTATGTACATTTCGAACTGATTCAATCATGACTAAGACAAGGAAATGGTCGTAAACGCCTTTAATATTTAGTCATTCCCTATACTCGTGATGCTTCACCACGGGCCTCACAGCTTCTCCGTGCATACATGGTATAACCACACTCAAACCTAAACACTGACCCATGAAAATTATTACGTTGGTTGTCTCAGATGCATTTTCTTTAGACCAATATACTATAGTTGGTCAAAATAGATGTTGGAGTTAATTTAAAATAACCCATTTTTTGGTTGTTTTAACCGAAATAGAATACTGCATAGTCAAATAAGTGCATCTCGGACAACCAATTCAAATTTGGATAGATTTTTTCTTAATGTTGGAGATTTTATATAAAATACAAAAACCTCGACAAAAACAATTGAAGTTGTATATCCTGCCATGCACTTATGTGGATTAAGATTTAAGTTGAAATTTTATGGCCAAATTTAATTGCATTTAGTTAGTTGGAACTAAACCGTAACAATGAAGCGGATATTTTTGCAAACACAGAAAGTATGCTATACATGCAATGTTTCCTCTCCTCTGAATAGAACAAATTCTCGCGAAGTGATGACTTTACAAAATTCTCTGGATAACCAAGAATTACGTGAAGCCAGAATATGCATTCACATTGCTGGAATTCCACTGTCATTGACACATATAGACCACTTGGCGAAGAATTAAAGAAATAAGATTTGTTATATTGGAATTGGCACCTAATTGGTAGCTATATATATTGTTCTGTTACTATTTAGAACCAGTATAGGTCAAAGAGGATGTTTTCATGTTATCTGAAGCAGTTAGACTCGGACTTGTTTCAATTTTCAATCTGTTTCTCAAGAGGTTAGAAGTTCCGGGCCACGAGAGCGGAAGAATAACACAAAGAATTTGAACGTTGGACTTATACTGGTCGCACGCGTGTATTGCTGGGAATTGGAAGTGGTAATGTAGTAACAAGTTTCTTTATACATATAGTTCTATAAGTGAACTTTCAATTGGAATCATTGAACACGCAGTGTCCTTCCCAACTTCATATTCATGTTTTAGTCTTATAAAATACTGAATCATAAGATTATAAGATTATATAAACATTGTTAATATACCACGCCAGCCAAGCGAGCATGTAGTGCCGACAGTAAGCAGAGTATTGGTTTATGCTGAGTTTACGCCATTCCTAAGTTCCTAACTTGATTGATGTACGGCGTGTTCTGACGTTCGTGCCTGTTCGTGTCACGTCTGTATGTTTGTACTTGGCGACGTTCAATAAGTAAAAAACACAGTGATAAACTTTAACCCTGACAAATGCTTATATTATTAGGGAATTTTATATTTCTAGTGGTAATATGAAAGGGCACTAAATTTAAGAAGAATTTGATGTTGCTCACGTGTTTTGATGCAAATTAAATATCATACTAATGACATGCTAATTTAGACTACGTACTGGATCACAACTCACAAGCATCAAATGCAACGGATGTTTTCGAACTGGCGGGTTTCCCGGAAGAGACGAAACCAACTTTGAGCACATGCATGCATGGTGATAATCTTGAGGCATTAAACAATTGATAGTTCAAACACTCTGTTACGGTTACTATATGTTCTATACAAGCAATTATGTTTCTACGCGTGAAAAAGCGATTTATAATTGACGAATTTTTGCGAGTTTCACCTATTTCGGATTTTACCTACTCTTTTAACCTAGTGCAATACCAAACCCGCCAAAATTAGCTGGAGTTTCAGATTTTTTTAAGAAAGTTGTTTGTAAGCTATGCTTTAACTCTGTATTTTCAATGTTTCAAAATTGCAACGTATGTATGTCATATCCACGTCAACCTCATGTGACGTCAATCCCGGAAGTAAAATGTTTGATAATTGTTTCCGTTTAAGCTATGCGGAGTATTGCAACAAGCAGCTGAGAGCTTACTTCCGCTGAGATTATATTGACGTCATATAACGCTGCAATTTCTTCCATACCATGCATAATATACCATGTCAGCATCTCTTGGCAAAAGTCAAATATTTGCTAGGGAGTATATGTATACAAAGAGTGCCATAGAGTGCCAATGTATAATTTTTGCTTTTAATGGCCGCTTGTTCTCGATAAGCCCCCATGGTTATTACAGGCGACCAGCACTACATCTATATATGTTTA